TTTAATTATGTATTGCCGATTTTAGTTTGTTGTAAGCCGTCCAGAGTCCCCCGTTGTGGGGAGATGGGCGGGGACAAGTCAAATAAATAATCATCATCATCATCATCATCATCATCATCATCATCATCATCAGAACTGACTCCAGGAATGAGAACTCATAAATCTTACATATATTGTAACTGCTTTGAAACAATTACCAATCCAATTCTCATTAGTAGCCTTATTTCTCCTCCTATTTTCCTTTCATGTTGCTGCTGCAACTGCTGCTACTCAGCACCTATTGTTTCTCTGTGGGTACTAACATTAAGAAATTGAATTTCATTTATAAATTTCCCCTAGTAACAACACGTAATTATAGAAACTTAAAAGACTCAGTAACATTTTAAAGTAAGAATATAAGGTATACTGTATATGCTGTAACTCTGGACCTATAAGTAACATCTGGGTCCCTGTATGTGATGATTACTATCTACAGGAATGTGAGTAAGTTGTAAATCATGTGACTGATTTATGATGCATTTGTTGATTCTCTTCCTTTTTTTTTTTTTTTAATCCAGTGGTATTTCATGCACCACCACCAGCTAAGATCAAGAGAGAACTGCACAGCCCATCTTCAGAGCTGTCCACTTGTAGTCACGAGCAGGTGCTCTGTGCTAATTATGGAGAAAAGTGCCTCTACAATTATTGGTATGTAGAATCAGCTTGCAAGACCAATGCTGTTGAATGGTTGAGGGAGCCTAGAAACTGAATCAGACACATTTGAATAGTCAAAGGAATCCCATTTGCTGATAAAAACATTAAGGACCCACTTGAAACAGAGTCGGATAAGGAAAATAGAAGAATAAAAAGATTGTATTGATACTGCTGGCCCCATGATAGCATTTCCTATATACTTGGAGAATTGAAAGATAATTACTGTACCTTTAAACATTTAATTATTTAATTGCTGGAAAAATGTGCAAACAGTTGACATAGACCTTTTTGTCAGGCAGAATGAAACAGTACTTTGGCAAGTTCTACCAAGACAAGTCACTTCCGAAGGGAGCTGTTCCTAAAACCTTACAAGCTTAATTATTTACCTAGAAAGTTGTTTGCAACTTGATATTCATGCTTATGCTCAGCTGCAAGGCACTGTACATAGATTTAGATGTCTATGGCCTACACGACCTCTTACAATGCAGTACAACTCAAATCAGATGGCTTGAGGAATGGGAAGACAGTTTGGATGGAGGAGTAGCTGTAACAATTCCATTCTGTACCCTGAATTTTTTATATCTCTAACACCATGCCTTTTCTGAAACTTCATCCATCCCCAAATCACTGTAAGTTCTGATTTACATGGTGCTTCTGACGTTCTAAAATAGCTTTCTTCAACCTGGTGCTTTTCAGGTGTGTTGGGATTGCAGCTGCCTAAATAGCATGCTTCAACACATCTGAAGGCCACTAATCTGGGGAGGGTACTGTACAACAAGTAATAATTTCTTGGCTGATTTACCTAACACCTTTGTTCATACAGATAGTAAAAGGGAAAAAAAGAACCTGGGTCTATACACTGCCACACATGAAGACTGCCTTGAATTATTTTTGCAAGTAATTGCATGAAATAGGCGCACAAGACTTTCACACATGAGTGTATATGAATGCCTGCTCAGGTTGGGGTGTCGGGATTGCACCAGGGGCAGCCTGCAAAATGATTGGTGTCAGCCTTGTTTGCTCTCCTGATTAGAATTAGTTCTTAATTATTAGAAGGGAGGGCAAGAGGGGAGGAAAGGCACTTCATTTTTTTCTTCTGTAGGAAAGAAAAGAATGCACACAATCGGAAGCTACAATTATGTCTGAGAAAATTGTGAGAGAAGTGTTTTAAAATGAGTCCTATGACTCAGCCTGTTTGTCGCTTGCTTGAAGTACAAAGATTCCCTTGGGGCTGTGATCAGCCTTAACTGTTACTTCCTGACAACCATGAAATGCAAACAAGCCTGAACTGTCAAGGGCTTGAAGCTGAAGCTGAGTAAATGGTTCTTGCCTGTTTTAAAATGTGCTTCTCTCTTCTCTTCTCTTCTCTTCTCTTCTCTTCTCTTCTCTTCTCTTCTCTTCTCTTCTCTTCTCTTCTCTTCTCTTCTCTTCTCTTCACAGTGCCTATGATAGGAAGCCCCCCACTGGGTTCAAGCCATTAACTCCACCCACTACCCCAGCCTCACCTGCACTTCAGAGCAGCGCCCTTCCGCCCCCACCTCTGCCCGCCACACCAGTGCAGACTCCTGCGCATGTCAGTCCAGCAGGCCCTTTGCAGGGAGCTCCTCCTCCTCCTCCCCCTCATCCTCTTCAGGAACCAAGGCAGCAACCCTTTGCTATACCTCGGCCACCTCATCAGCCTATCCAGATGCCAAAGATAATGCCTGAAAACCAGTACTCAACAGAACACAGGTAAAGGGGGTGACATTTTCCCCCCACTTGGAGAGCATTTGTGTCATTCAGAGGCCTTGTGGTCTGACAGAGATATCATATTATGTTTGTTAAATCTATATCCCATTTCTCTCCTTGTGCTCCAAATGGTGGGTGTACGAGTGTGTATCCATCCTCATGTTCCTCACCATCTCTTGTCCAGTTTGTCCCGCAACAACTCTGTGAGATAGGTTGGGCTGAGAGAGAGTGAACTGGTTGAAATCACCTAGTGAGTTGCTATGGCTGAGGGTGAAACTGAACCTAAACCTCTCAGGTCCTGGTCTGTTGACATTACTGAAAGTGCATCCTTCTTTTGATGGATCATGACTCTGCACAAAACCCAGATTATTGCCAGAAATCTTTTATTGCAGGAGTGCATACATTTTAATCTCTGTATTCCCAGGTTGTTCAGGAATGTTCACTTTGATTCTTTGAAGTTGGGAAATATATCTAAAATGGAATCAAGACAACAATTCAGTTTTCAGATCAATGTCTTATACTTTCTTTTCCTTGTTCAACAGCTAAGGAAGGCAGCTATTTGTTGGGTGATATATATAAAGTCTGATCTGGTTAAAGAATTGTTTAAGTGGCTGACATTATGAATAGATCACTTTAATCCAGGGCCTTGGCTGGATTAAATATACTTTGCGTTACATGTAATTTACTACATTTACTACTTTATTCTATTTACAACTATCAGAGGAAACCCCTCTTGACCTTATAAAATATTTACCAGTCAATATTTGAATCTTCCCACTTGAAGTATGTAACATGTTTTTTATAGCCTGCCCTGTGAAATTTCCAAGAAGCTTACATCATTTCAGAATGACAATCAAACAGACTGAAATAGTTTCAAATATTATGTCTTGTTTCTCAGGACGTACTTATTAATACTAACAACCACAGTGGCTTTTACCATTGTTGGACTTTTTTTCATGAAATTTACCCTATTTTCTTTCACTTGGGTCTGCTTGACAACCTCAGTGATTCAGACGTGGGTAGTCTTGTCCAACCATAAGGCTGTTTTCAAAATAGACTAAAATGTGGTTAAAAAAACTGGGCATAATTCTACCTTAAAGCTTAATAAGATGGGATTACTTCTAGAAAAATGTATTTTCATATTTGTCTGTAACTAATCTCCATCCACGTTCCTTAAATAAGTGTGGTTCTTCTCTATTGCCAGGACCTCAGGTTGCTTTTAAGTCTCCCACCCATACCTCCCAGGCCCTGAGTTCCCAATGACCTTAAAGCTATTCGGCACGATTCCATCTGGAAGTTCCTCTTCCTGCAGAAAGCATACCAGTGCAGTTCTAGAGTTACATTTGAGAAGGTTAGAAGGACACAGATCGGAAGTAGAATAATCTGGGCCTGTCAGCTGCAGTGGGTCATATTACAAAGCTAAATTAAGGTCATGTGCCTCTGGAGGCTTGGGAAAGGAATTGATTGATCACAGTCACCTTTCAAGGTGCAAGGATGGGAAAGGGTGTGCCTAGTTTACTGTATAGCCTCTTGGAGTTCAGAACCAAGGATATTGGGATTTAGGTTGCTTGTTATTTGTTTAGTTTCCCCTAAGGTTCATCCAGATTCCTCAAAACCAGGATAATAGTTGCTGAATGTATTTTTATGTAAAATATAAGTTCTAACATTACCATTTTTTAATGCCAGCATTTTGCTTTGTGAAGCATCTGGTTGTATTTGCAAGTAATAAAAAGAATTCTTGTTGTATGTGAATGCAACCTCTGTGTATTCCATACAATCCAGCAGCATTTTGGATCATGCATACATTTTGTCCCAAATGACAGCTAAAAGATTTAATCCTTTGTTTTGGGGGTAGATCAGGAGCCATTACAGATTGCTATGAAAATTCAGAATTATATATCCACATGCTTGCTTTGTTGGAGTGAAATACATCCCTATCAAAGTTGTCATTTCCTATTCCTTTCCCACAAGCAAGCTTCTTGTTCTTTTCACTGAAGACATGTTTGTCCAGATGAAGGTCATGTTTGCTGCAGATAAATTAGTTCATTTCTCTTGGTGCTGCTTCCTTACACTGCCTGAAATTTGATTGTCTCTCCTGGTGCTGCTACTTTGATCCAACTCAGCTGCTTTTTATCAGACATTAAACACTGGAAATCTAACAATATCCTGTATCATATTGTACAGTTTGACTCTAAGATAAGTTTTCTCAGCACATCTTGACTATCTTTGCCCTATTTACTGAAAAGATCCAAAAATATACAGTAGTTCCTGTCCAGGGGCCATTCTTTCTTAGGCCCTGTGGGGCCCTTTTTGTTTCCCCTTTTTTTCATGGAAAGTTGATAATCAAAACTCTGAGATACTTCTTGCTGCTTCATATCTACACTTCTGCCTTGCTTTCCTTTGAATCTGAATGCATTCATTATCTGTAATCACTGAATATTTTTCTGTCTGTCACATAGAAAGAGGTATACGAATAATGTGGATGCCATTAAGCATCAATTCTGTGATTCTGGGGAAGGAAGACATTTTCTAGACTTTATACTAATGTTTGTCTAATTACTGATAAGTTGACCTAGAAAGGTTCAGGAGACCTCCCTTTTTAGTTTAAGCACCTCAGATATAGCTACTAAGCAACATATAGGGTCTCTTACAAGTGTCCCTTTTTTTCCTTTTTTTTTTTTGAACTACAGCTGAGTTCATTGTAGAATTCCTTTTATTTTATTGTGCTAATTTATTAAAAGTATTTATATATAATTTCTTGTTTGTAAAATAAGAACATAACCCATAAAAAGACAAATGTTAGGTAGAGTTTATAGCTGAGAAAGTCAACATAAAAAGATAGGGTTGCCTGCAAAATGGTCCATTTAGCAGCTTTGGTGAAGGCAAAGTTGTATGCCCTCCATTTAGTCATATTACCACATCTAACCAACCCAGAAAGTACACTCTTCCTTTCAGAGACAACAAGCTGATGTTGCTACATTGTACCAGGTTCTTGTTACTAAAGGTGGGCTATGAAGGGCCTGAGCTGAAACTGGGTTGTGCGCCCATGTTTACCAGGATTGCTCTTCTGTAGACAACTACAACCAGAATTAAGACTCTAGTAGGTCTGGAGTCTGTTAACTGTAATGATAATTCTCTCTCTCTTGTTCATTCTCACCAAGGTTTCATAGACAGATGTCTGAACCTTGCCACCCATATCCTCAGCCAGGGCTTTCTGGAGACAATCGCCCTGTCTACCACCGGCAGATGTCAGAGCCTCTTGTCCCTGCTGCTGCCCATCCTCCTCAGGGATTCAAGCAAGAGTACCATGACCCACTCTATGATCATGGGGTATCAGGTATTCCAGGCCCCCCAGCTCATGGATTCCAGTCTCCAATGGGAATCAAGCAAGAGCCCAGGGACTACTGCATTGATTCAGGTGAGCATTAAAATTGAATTCCTCCAAGCTGCATGAAGATTGAAACTTGTTCTTAGTCATTGCTATGTAGCACATGAAGCAGTCTTTGTACCATTGGTGTTCAGCAGCTGTGTAAAATAAACCATGTTGCACCATTTAAAGTAAAGGCTGACAACCTTTCTTTCAGTGGTGCACCCATCACCAATGAGTCCATCTACCTTGCTGCTGTCCTCTTTCCTTCCACCTCTACATACATGCATGACCATTAATAGACAATTGGGAGAATGTTCATTAAATACAAGAGTACATCTCGTGGCAACTCACATCATTTTCATCATTGCTTAGTGATATCTTATGCAAATTACATAAATCACTGCAAAAATATATTCCATTGCAAGTAAAGTCTCTTGTATTGACTAATAAATCAAGGTTTCACTTTGTTTTGTTATTTGATATTCATTCCTTCTCTCAATACAGTCAAACCATTTTTTCATATTGCTCATTCACTTTTGTACTCAATCCACATTTATTCAACAACCATTCATTCTTCATCGCTAAGTGATGCAGTCATGGACATTGCACTTTATGACCACATCGTTTAGCAATGGAAATTCCAGTCCCATTTACCACTGTTAACCGAGCACTACTTGTATAAGCACTCCTGGGTCGGGACAGTGTGGGAAAGGCCAAGTCAATGGGAAGGTATAGGAAAGGAAGCCTTCAGAATGATCGGGGGAAGGAGTAAGTGGGCTGGTTGGGTGATGCCATGTTTGAAATCAAGCATGGTTGAGGCAGTGAAGAGAAGAAGGAAGGTGCTAAAACGATCAGGGGAAGGAGCAAGTGTGTGTTGGCCAGCTGATTATGCTGCACCTAAATTCAAGTATGGTTTTGGCATTGAAGGAAAGGAGAAAAAGGAGTTGTGACTATTGGTGGGTGGGCTGGTACACAGGCCACGCATAGGAGGAGGTGACAAAGAATAGAGACATCTCACCCAGAACTGCTCTGATAGGGCCATCATACGTTTGTTCCATGCATGGAAACACAATTTTCTATTTCACGTACATCTGTAATCTACTTCCTCTAGTTTTTCATCATTTTTCTATAATTTCAATCATAAACTCAACTTTCCTTGGTTTTAAAAATTTCTGTCAAAATCATTCTGTATTTCCTCTGCTCTTTTCATCTTACCCATTCCATGGTTTCTCTGGTGACATTTTTTGCTATTACATTTTTCTCTATATACACATTATACATTATCTTTCACTTTATCATTCCACTAAGCAATCATTTTCATACTTCCCATAACCATACCTCTACATGTTTCTGTGGCACTTCGTAAACTTTTTTTTTCACTTTGTACTAAGTAGCTTCCACATCCTCTTTCCTTGCAACCACTTCCATTTATTCTGTTGGGAGATTACTAGCTTTGAATACTTTTAATTCAGCATTACTTTCTCTTCCTGCAGTTCTGTTTTTATTCTAGTTTCTTTCACTTTCTTTTCCATTTTCCCCAAGATTCACTTTTGACACTATAAAAAAAAAAGTCCATCCTACATTCATCACCCTGGTACCTTTTACTAATTACTTCCATCTTTCACCATATTCATTTCTTTTATATGCATTCCTTTGCAATGTGTCTGGATAAATAGATTGATGCTTAAACTATGTGTGCAAAAGAAACATATTTTTTCTAAGTAGGTACTCCCCAAGCAGTGAGTATTCTCATTTGTTCTTGGGTTTGTGATTGGCCCAGTAACTTTTTTGCAATCTCTTATTTCATTTATACCCATTTATATTGCATTCCATCCATCCATTCATGTTGTGTAACTGAATAACTTTTCCCTTAGATCACATTCATTCAGAATGTTGTATAGTTTTTTTCCCAAACCTCATAATTTTATTTTTCTGCTACCACTATGGTTTCCTACTTTAATACATACAGTACACTCAATATAGATTATGCCAAATTACATTTTCTGACATATATTTTATCTATTTCATTCATAACTAAACCTATACTTTCATTTCTGTAGATGTATTCCATCATTTCTACTTCATAAGATCAGACTACCTTCATTCTGATTGATTACATCCTCCCCCCCTTTTTTCATAGATACCCAATGCAACTATTTTACTATCTTTCATTTCATACATTAATCCATGCTCTTTACCGTTTACTCCTCTTGTATTCCATGTGCCATCAGCACCAGATGGGCTCATTGATACTACCTCAGCCATCCATCATGGCTTTGATCAATCAGTGTTTTCACACAGCACTTTTAGTACAATAGAGAAGGAATAAACAAGGTTACCACTGCTCCCATGATACAAACAATATTTCCTGCTTACAGGAGCAGCACAATACTAGTCAGATTTTGCACATTTGAATCATTATGCCATATGCAGGCAAACTTCAATTTTACCTCAATAATGCTCATTTTCTTCTATGTATATTGAGATCTTTAATGTAGAGATATCTTGCAAGGCAACATACTGTTGCCTGCATTTCACCAAATGAAAGGTACATGCCGGAGCGCCTCAAAGTAAGTATAGTGGCTGCTGCCTCTCTCATTCTTGCAAGACAGGAATACAGGTAGTCCTCATTTAGCAACTGACGCATTTAGTGACCATTCAGTTACAACAATGATGAAAAAGTAACTTTGTGATCAGTCCTTGCATTTACGACCTTTGCAGCTCTGTAAAGCAAAGGAAAGCTGAAGTAAGATCACATGCACAGTCTTGGTTTCACTTAGCAACTGCTTCATTTAATGACCAAGTTGCCAGTCCCAATTGTGATCAATAAACAAAGACTACCTGTACAGAGAACGCAGTTGCTGTCCTAATATACTTGTTCTGGCCAGTGTACCCTGCTGCTTCTGCATCTGCTGAATTGGATGTTTCTGCCCATCCCTCTGGTGAAGTGGAAAAAAGAAAAGCTGCTTTTTGTAGCAGCATTTAATCTAGTTAGAATGTAAGATTATATTTTTCTATCTTGTAAAAAAACAGGCATTCAACAGATGTAGCAGAATTTAAACTTAATCTGAAAAGCCATTACTAGGAAGGGAAAACAGACAGGCAATTTTGCACACTTGTGTGCAAAGGCTCTTCCACCTTCTGTTTGCCACAGAGTATCTCTGAACTTGCAGTTGACTTTGGGTTGCTCCTGAATACTCACCTTGGGTCATGGGGGTGGGAAAGGAATGCTGGTTAGGTGTTAGTTGCAGCTGCTCTTGATGCAAAGCTGACTACATTGCTACAAATCTCCTTAGGTCTAAAAATATCATGACCTCTTAGAGGCTAAGTGGAACAGATGGGAGAAGATCTAAAGTTAAAGGATTTTTTTCTCTTCTTTCCCTGCTTCTCATGTGTTGTCAGGTGGAATGCAAAACATGAAGCCTCTCTTTTAAATATGTAGTTTGAATATCCTTTACCAACCTATTCTGCAGGTTCATAAATACTTCTTCCAGGAGCTGTTGAAAAGGGATGCAGGAAGCTTTGCCCTCTGGGGAGAGACAGCTGCAGTAGTGAGGCAGATTGCATTACCACTTCCAGGAATAATATTACATACCTGATTTTCAAGGAATTGTATTATTTATTGTTCACAGATCCAAGGTATTCCCTATTTAGATACTGATTCATCATGACTCACTGCAGTATCCCAGTAGGTAAATAATCTAAGCACAAAGGGGAAGGGTCAAATACTTCTCATCAGACACCTAACCTTTTGTGTTTGGTGAATATGGGGGAATTATGGGAAAGGATGAAGTCCAGTTTTTAATACATGCTTTAGATGCATAAAGTGCACCTCTAGTTAAAAGGATCAGATAGAAGGCAATGGGAAAGATCTCAGCTTGAAAAGCCAATACTGGTTAAAGTAAACTAGTATTATACTAGATGAATCTGTGGTTTGATTCTGGATAAAAACAGCTTCATATGTTTAAACCTTCATTTGTTTTTCTTCTTCATTTGTGGAAAGTTGAAAGATCAACGTCTGAAACATGATTTCAGTAAATATTTTAAAAATCAAATTGCCCTGTCTTGGACATTCTTACAATTTTGCTTATCTGAAGAGTTTGCAGGCATCTGAGGAATGTTAATAAGTGGAAGTTGAGATTATGAGTATTTTATTATCATCAGTTTTGAGAAAATATGAGTTTTTAATTACAGGAATTGCTTCCAAACATCTATTTGTGCCATGGTTCTACTCATATATTCTGTGTGTTGGCTAAAGTGATATAACAAACCAGTTAGGCTGGTTAGATTCTTAGTAATTTGAATCTTAGTGTACTTCTACAGCTGACTAGTAATGGGGGTTGCTGTGGCAAGGGGAAAATCTTTTCAGCACACTGCTGAATTCAACACATATCTGATCCCAATGAAGCTTTTAAGCAGCTTTTAGAAATACAAGTATTCATCTGAATGAAGACTAAGGGAATGTTCACCAGAATCTAACATGTACTAATTTGGGCAGGGGGGGTTGCCTGATGTAACTTGGAAGGCCATGCTATCCTGCTGCCTCACTCCATTTCTTTTGGTTGGAAGTTGGTAGATTCTCATGCCTTTCAGAAATGTTACTGTGCAGTCCTACTCATTTTTACTTGAAAATACATCATGTAACTTTCTACTGGTCTTACCTTCAAGTAAATATGCAGATGAGTATTTTCAGTGGAAGTCACCAAACCTGAATATCTCTTTCCTAGATGGAGGCTGTGCTCATAAAAATGTTTAGGGATTGAGCAGTGAGGTTTAATGTTATTTCTCTAACCACAGAGTAGAAATGCATGGATCTACACTTTTTATACATGTGGTCTTTTCTGTCCACTATTTCATTTGAACAAGAAGTGAAGTGTATATAGGTTAGCCTGGAATTCACTCAGACTTCATCTTTTTTTTTTTTAGAAGTGCCTAACTGCCAGTCGGCATATGCTACAGGAGGGGGATACTTTCCCAACAACCATGATGGTAAGCAGCCACGTTGATATA